GCCAGTGTGAGCACAAATACAATTCTGTATTTGTGAAAATACTGAAAAACTGAAAAACAGAATGAAAAACTGATGAGACAGGGCCAGAGGTCCGGAACGCGAAAGAAAAGATCTAAAACAAGACGGTCACGCCAAGCCCACTCTGCAGGACGCTGCTGCCCACGGCCCGCCCGAGCCGCCCCACGGGGCCGGGCCTCCTCGGAAACTCTCTGCAGGTCCGAGGCCCCTCGGACATGCCTCCGTGTCACTCACTGACACTATTTAGGAGAAGCCAGGGAAGTCCCTTTAGTGGCTAGTTTTGTACATTCCAGTGTAATAAGAATTCTGGTATAGAAAAGATATATTAAAATGTATATACATATTCTATGTTTCATTCTGAATTAAATGCAAATTTAGAATTTGCAAGAATAGCACACAGCCAGCAGATTCATCAACTGCTAACATTTTGCCCAATTTGCTTCATCACTTTTTCTTTTCCCTAAACCTTTTGAAAATAAGTCACAGAACACATTGCTCAGGATATATTTCCTAAGAACAGCAGACATTCACCTACATAACCACAGTATAATGATCAAAATGAGAAAAATTAAGTGATAAAATAGAATAATCTAACCTACAGACCTCAAATGTCATCAATTGTCCCAATAAAGTCCTTTTTAGCAACTTGTGATTTTCTAATCTAGGATCTCATCTAAAATCACACGTGTTTTGTTTTCCAGACTCTTGCAGTCTCCATCAACCTGAAAGTTACTTTCTCAGCTTTTATCTTTTATGGTACTGGCATGTTTAAAGAGCACAGGCCAGCCGTTTCACAGAACGTCCCTCGACTGAGGTCTGACTGGTATTTCTGCACGGGGCTCGGTGCTATGCTTTTTTGGCAGATACATAACAGAGGTGACACTGTATCCTCAGGACATCATACCAGGAAAATTTATCAGTATGTCCTATTAGGGCAAAATGTATTAACATTGATCACTTGGTTAAAGGGGAGTTTCTGCCCTATAATTTCTTACTTTTTATCATTTTTCTGTTATTAATAAGTAATTTGTGGAGAGATACTTTTATACATACTAGATCTGTCCAGAAAAAGTCCAGCCATTGTTAATACAATGAGAACAGTCTGCTCAACACCAATGCAACCTGGCAGCCCAGGAGAAAGGTCTGGAACACGCGTGCGTGTACTAGTCAGTGGGGGCAGTAAATGCTGTTGAGTGAGCGTATGTACTGTGTGGCTGTCACATTCAAAATGACTGAGAGAGCAGAGTAACAAATCCACATCCAATTTTGTGTTCAGTTTGAACATTGTTCTGTGTGAACTATTCGGATGATTCAGAAGGCCACAGCTATGGGCACCTGGTGACCGGCAGCTTCGTCTCCACGTGTCCACTCATGCATCACATTTTATCCACAGTTTTCTGGAAAAACATCAAACTACCCAGGTGACTCAGCTCACCTATAGCCCAGATTTGGTGCCCTGTGACTTCTGGCTTTTTCCAAAACTAAAATCACCTTTGAAAGGGAAGACATTTCAGACCATCATTGAGATCCAGGAAAATATGACGGGGCAGCTGATGGCGACTGGGAGAACTGTGTGAGGTCCCAAGGTGAGGGACCACTCTCACTGTCCTATGTAAAATGTTTCTTGTATCTTCTCCAATAAATGTCTCTATTTTTCAGAGTACATGGACAAATGCTTTCTGGACAGGCTACATATATCCTATTTATAATGTCCTATACCTTATAAATTTTTCACTGATTAGGTTTAGCATCCATAATGATTCTTGTCTGGAACAATTTTCTATAATGGTTGCAAAATTATTTTTCTAGCCCTGGATGGTGCGGCTCAGTGGACTGAACACCGGCCTGTGAACCAAAGGGTCGCTGGTTCAATTCCTAGTCAGGGCACATGTCTGGGATGCAGGCCAGGTCCTCAGTGGGGGTCATGTAAGAGGCAACCACACACTGACGTTCCTCTCCCTCTATTTCTCCTTCCCTTCCCCTCTTTCTAAAGGTAAATAAATAAAATCTTTACATATATATTTTTTTTCTAACTCATTCTTACCAATTTATTAACAGTCTATGATAAACTTTCCCTTTTACCCGTGTATTTATTTATATATTAAAAGTACATATTCTATTTAATTCAATAGAAATATAAGCCACTTTAAAATATTTTATTTTTTTTAGAGAGAGGGGACCAGAAGAAGAAAGAGGGAGAGAAACATCAATGTGTGGTTGCCTCTCATGTGTCCCCTACTGGGGACCTGGCCTGCAACCCAGGCATGTGTCCTGACTGGGAATCGAACCGCGATCCTTTGGTTCACAGGCCCACGCTCAATCCACTGAGCTACACCAGCCAAAGCGGAATATAAGCCATTTTATTTTGCTACTACATAGCTTCCGACACAATGAGTTGGAAGTCCTTCTAGCTGATTTCTGTGTCCTTTTTGACACATCCTCACCATCTGTTTGAGCACTTCCTTGATTTCTGGCATAAGATGTTCCATTCTGTACTTTCCGGTACTAGCCCTGGAATCAGCGTTCTCCAAGTGCTGGGTTCGTTCAGCAGGAGATGTTTTTTCAAAACCAAAAACTGGTCCCAAGGTACACTCACTGCTAATAATGTATCACTGCTTCTGGGCCCTCTGGGCAGATATAAAATATATAATGTTGTTATAAGCTGTTTTTAAAAGTTTCTCCAACTTAAAAATGTATATATACTTTCCACTAAAGCATCTGGTCAACACCTATTTAGAAATACACACACACACACACAGTTTAGTGAAATGTTCTTAAATACTGGTTAATTTTTCCTTTTAAACTTTGTATAAATTTTTCTACTACATAGTAAGATGGTCGTATAAATCTTTCAATTTTATGAAAACAAAGCACACTTAAAACTACAGCTTGATCACATAAGGTTTAGAAGTCAAAGGTAAGACCTGGCTGGTGTGACTCAGTGGATTAAGTGTGGGCCTGTGAAGCGAAAGGTCGCCAGTTCAATTCCCAGTCAAGGCACATGCCTGGGTTGTGGGCCAGGTCCCCAACAGCGGGCATATGGGAGGCAACCACACACTGATGTTTCTTTCCCTCTCTCCTTCCCTTCCCCCCTCTCTAAAAGTAACTAATAAAATAAATAAAATCTTTAAAAGTCAAAGGTAAGAGAACCTATTTTCTAAAGGTATGAGTAAAGAAGATTTAATAAAGCTCAAGAATTATTAATATTTGAAAAATAAGAGACTATAGGGAGCTAAAATTAAATGCACAAGTTGACCAGAGAAGACAGATTAATGTGCTTAAAACACAGCAACCCCTCTGCTGACCCTTTACTCCCGTAAGAATGACTGGAAAACTCTGAAGGTGCAGGCACCTGTGTGAACGCCCCACATACTTATACTCACTGCACACCTGATCCAGACACGCTGATAATGAGCAAGCCAGTGGAACAGAATATATCCCTGACTGTTTTTGTTTTCCTAAATCCGTTTCTCAGGCCCCTCAGTTTTATTACAAACTTGTTTAAGTGGTCATTTGACCTAACTGGGGCTGAGCTAGGTGTTCCCTCCAAATACACCTCCTCTCCGACTTGCTCCTTCAACCCCTTCATTTTACTTACTCTAGCACTTCGACCTCCGCTCTCCACTCCATTCCCTACCCTCTGTCCATCTCGGTAGAGCAGTTCAGCCACCCTCTTGGCAGAGTCCTCAATCCCAGACATCAACATTAGGTGTCTAAAGCTCTCACACCGTTAATTATATTCTCTTGTATCTTGAATCTCTCTTTCCTTCAGTCTGTAAGTTCTCAAATACCTTGCATGTAAAAAAACAACTTCATCACCCTGACCGGTATGGCTCAGTTGGTTGGGCATAATCCTGCAAAGCAAATGACCGCTGGTTCAATTCCTGGTCAGGGCTCATGCCTGGGCTGCAGGGGCCCCTCGCTGGGTGGGGCACGTGCAAGAGGCAACCAATCGATGTCTCTCTCACACACTGATCCCTCTCTCCCTCACTCCCCCTCTCAAATAAACAAACCAATAAATCTTTAATACTTCATCCTTTAAAAAAAACCAATAGTCCAAAAGAAAAGCTTTCCTCCCCATTTATCCACCCCTTCAGCTCACTGCAATCTAGATGTCACCTGAACGTGTCCCCTCCCTCACCCCAAATGTTAATTCGGGGTCGCTCTTTCCTGTGTTGCCCCATTCATCCTCACCCCCAAGTGCCTGAGTTCAGCCTCCTGTCTGTTCTTGAAGGGAATTACTGCAGTATCGTCCCAACTGACCTCCTTGCTTCTAGCCTCCCCTTCAAACGCCCCCTTCCTCACCTACCTCTCTATACAGCGCCACCAGAACACTCCTTATAAAACCCAAGACAAACTACGTCTCCTATGCCTAAAATAATCCTGACTTCTCAGTGCTAAAAATTAAAAACCAAGTCTTCCTGGAATACAAAACACTCTGTCATCTGGCCCGTCCTACCTATTGTTGTGGAAAACCTCACCCTCCTTGGGCTGCCCACTTTTTGTCTCATACGCTCCAGTCTTGTTTATCGATGACACCTGAACCCCAGAACCATGCTGCTGACTGCCTGCCAATGCCCGGTGCTCCCACTGCTCCGTCTTCTGGCATTCCCGCGTTCCTCCCCGACTCAGTTCACGCTTACATCTGTCTAGCTCAAGCTCAAAAATCTTTTCCTCTGTTAAGTCTTCCAGACCCACAGTTAGGGTCGGTCAGTCCTTCTGACACCATTTCATTTATCTATTTACCTCTATTACAGCATGTCACACTTTGATACAATTAATTAACTACATGTCTGTCTCCCTTTCTAAACTGTGAGCCCCTTGAAGCCAATGGTTGCTTTTTAATCCATCTTTATATCCCCTATCACTCCAACAGATGTTCAATGAATACTATTCAACAAATGAAATAAAAAGTGGAAGACAGGAGCAGCTTATAATCTCTTACAAAGAGCACAGGCCTGAATGTTAAAATATGTCCCTACCTGGTAACTAACTATTTTCTTTCCATCGCTTCCGGTCTGGGGTAGGGTCAACGGCCCGGACACCACCCAAACATCTTCAAACCTCTCCGTCAGTTCTCGACAGTACATTTCAATTCTGAAAAACAAAGCAAGGGAAAAAAGGCTTGATATTCTCACAGGCTTAAATGTAGAAAAGAAGCAAACCATATCGAGCCCCAAGGAAAGATGCCAAGAATACTGATCCAGAGACATTAATATAAACATGAGAATATGGCACAAAACATTACAAGCTTTTCCCAGTTTGTTTACTGCACAAAAAAACTTTAAAAAAAATCACACACATTAATACAACCATCTACATTTTTACTGTGTACATCCCACGTACATTTTGTAATGACGTTTTGTTTTCTCCCTTACTTTTCTAAGCCATAGCTCTCAAACTTTTTACAAGAGTTAAGTATCACTCCAACAAGTTGATATCTTTTTATTTAACCATTCCTACTGAGGGACAACCAGGTTTACTCTGACATTTCTTATATAACGCAACATTGTATTAACTCCTTAGGATAAATTCAAGGGCCAGAATCACTTTACTAAATACTTTAATGACACTAGATTATATGTAATACTAATATTTTTAATGGGATTGTCCCAATTTACTCCGTAAACTCCAAAATAGCATAGCAGTTTCACAACAATCTTTACCACACTGGGTTTTAACACTTAAAAACTGTTTATGTTAACTTGCTGGGTAAAAATGGCAAGTAGTTTTACTGTGCACTTTCTTGCACCACAGTTGAAAGAGTTTTATGAGAAAACAGTACATGCCACCATTCCTACTTCTTACCCAAAAAGGAAAATCAGTACCTCACAGTACATATGCCCAATAAGAAAGTAGTCGAGTTTTCTTCCCAAAAATATACCCCTTAGGGAAGAAAAATTATATATGCTTCCACAGGTGTGCAATCGGACAGAATACCAGACAGGAAACTACAAGACAAATATCCCAGATTTTCAACAAATAATTTGCAAGGGGAAGAAAAAGGAAGGGAAACCTACAGATTAAAAGGAACTCGGGGGAAATATCACCCAAATTCACATGTAGACCTTCTTTAAATCCTGATTCAAACCAATCAACCACCACCCCAAAAATCAGGAAAATTTGAACAGATTATAAAATTGGCAATAAGGAATTACTATTAAATGTTTGAGGGGCAATAATAGTACCATAGTTGTCTTTTAAAAGAATCCTTGTCTTCTAAAAATATACAATGAAATATTAAAATAATATATCCATGACCTGCTTAAAATAATCTGAGCAGGGGGGAGGGCAGGCGTACAGACAAAACGAATGTGGGCTGTAACTGATGGGTGACAACTACTGACGTCTCTAAGTGTGCGGGTGCTCTCTTCATTATTTTAAGCCACAAAAGTACTGTTTGGGGAAAGCGCAAAAACTTGAAACAACCTCAGTCAGTGCAAGTCTTCAATACTTAAAGAGATCCCCAGACAGATTGAAAAACTGCTTACTGGTCACATTTACTTGCACCTAAATTTTTTTTTTTAAAGCTCAGCAATTAGAGAAAAACAGTATCCTCTGGACATATTCAAAAATATTTTATGCCTCAGTAATAACACTGTTAGTAGTTTCTTCCAGAATTTGACTTCTGACCGGAGCAAACATGATCAAAATGGCTACGTTTTGAAGTCTGTACTTCCCTAGAAAGCTATACTCCTGAAATACAGTGAAGAAAACTGGTTTCCAGTACTTAATGAAAGTCCTACCTGCAGTAGTAACAGCTTTTGAAAAACAAAGACAGAAACAGCTCATCAGCAACTGGGACATTCTCCTCACATCATCCCTCTCCCACACAATCACATTGTAAAAACTCTCACCCCTCACCTGTTCCAATATCCAGCATTATTATCAAAATTCTGAGGCACAATGTTAGAAAGGTAAAAGGTTTCAGCCATTGCCTTCTGTGAAAAGACATAACAATAGTAACTTGTACTGAAATGCCTTCCCCTTGGAGATTTTACAAAGCAGGCACAGAAAACCAGCTCCTTATTCACACGACAGCTCTAGACAATTACAGTGACCACTCTTCTTTAAAAGATTTTGTTTCTTTTCAGAGAGGGGAAGGAAGAAAGGCAGAAACTTCGCTGTGCATCATGAACTGCCTCTCGCACGCCCCCAACTGGGGACCTGGCCAGCAACCCCAGGGCACGTGCCCTGACTGGGGATCCAACCAGCAACCTTTTGCTTTGCCGGGCAATGCTCACCCACTGAGCCACACTGGTCAGAGCAGTGATTACTTGTTCAAATAACTGAAAGTCATAGCTATTCCAGGACAGAAAGCTCAGTGATCATTCAAAATAAGGACTATGTCCAAATAAGTAGACTGATGTGCTTTCTTCATAATTTATAAAATTCAAACCTACAGCGTAGACTGTAAGAAAGTAAGTTTCCAACATGAAGCTAAAGGGTTTTAAGCTAAATTCTGATTTTAAGCCTCTGGCAAAGAGTTTTTCCAAGGTCAACTTTCAGGAATTTTATTTACCAATATAATTAGTTCAAAAACGGAGGGGAAAAAAACACTTTGTGGCCACTAGGTGTTCATTCATTTCCCTTCCGACCCCCCAACACGAAGCTCCGTCAGTGTGCTCCTCTCACCGAGTCCCAGGAGCTGCCAATGTCGCCGTCTCCTCCAGCTGCCCCTCTCCTGGGCTGCACAGCAAAGTGACCTGGAGCTTTAAAATCACTGCCACCTGGGTTCCACCCCGACAGTTCTCACTTCACTGCTCTGGGTCAGAGGTCTGGGCATCGGGGATTTTTAAAACTTCCCCAGGTGATTATAATGAGTATCCAAAGTTGAGAACCAGTATCTTAATCATGACAATCATCTATAATTCATGCAGTAAATGTCAATGTCAAAAAAGGCATTTCTCTCCTTTTTTTGGAAGAGAAATTATCCTCAGTGAAAAAAGACCAGGGAGACAGGACAATTAAATGTATCGTGTGATTCACAACTGGATACTAGATCCAAAAAGAGCTGTAAAGATAATTGGGACAATTTGGCAAACCTGAAATGTAAACTGTATATTAGATGTTATTGTACAAATATGTAAAAACACATTTTGACACATTTCTTGGTATAAAGACATTGCTGTCATATCTACAGCCTTATTCTTAAATGATACAATTTCCTCAGCAATCTACTTGGGAATGAAGTGTGACGATGCCTGCAACGGCTAAAATTATATATGTGTGTATACCTATGTGTGCGTATATGTGTATACATGTGTGTATATATATATATACACACACACACACACATTTGTAAAGTAAATGCATCAAAATGTGTTTGCTGTATTCTCTTTTCAGCTTTTCTACCTGTCTTCAAATAAGAGTTTTTTTAAAAAAAAAAAGCCCTGGCTGGTATAGCTCAGTGGATTGAGCGCAGGCCTGTGAAGCAAAGGGTCCAGGTTGATTCCCAGTCAGGGCACGTGCCTGGGTTGTGGGCCAGGTCCCGAGTTGGGGACGCATGGGAGGCAACCACACACTGATGTTTCTTTCCAACTTTCTCCTTCCCTTCCTCTCTCTCTAAAAATAAATAAATAAAATATTTTAAAAAAAAAGAGTGAGCAGCTTTGGCTCCTACTGGCTTTCCAGTTCCCTCTTAAATAGCATTAGCTTCCTCATTCAACCTTTTTAAAAATGTCTCAGCATCTGAGAAGTTAAAGTCAGGAAGAAAAATACAAAAGCGGAGTGCAGCGAGTCTCAGGTTTGAAGGCTGGCCCCTGTGTTTCTAACGGCCAGGTCCCAGGGTCCAGCAGCAGCCCGCCCCCAGAATGTGCCTACGGCTGAGAACTTGTTGTTTCCTGCCGGGGCCATGTGTCCTCGTGACCACCCGCTTCCAATGTAGTCCTTGTTGAAGGCGCTGAAGGCTGAAGGGATGCTGGGATCAGGCTTGAATTTACAATCTTTTCTGTCTGCATCACCTGAAGAAAAATACACAAAATCGGTACGTTTTCCACAGAAGAATAGCCCTTGCAATTCTCTAAGCAAGGCAAGCCGATTGCTCTGGACAGTATCTCTCCGAGCAGCTGGCAGCGAGTGATTGTGTGCGTGTCTCAAGTTCCTGGGATAGTTCAGATACTTCATCTGAATTTAGCAAGGACTAGGCTAGGAAAGAATGCTTTTCATACAGTGTAGCTATCTCCTATACTTTCGTTTCTGGCCTTAAAGGGGAAAGAAAAATCCCCTGGATAATATTTACATATATACGACCAATCAAATAACTAAGCTGTTTAAAAAGCTTAGCTACTAAATAAACGCCTGCTTTTTAAAGACTCCCATGTATTGTACTTTGTACCACTGTATTTGACATGTTCACATAGACTGAAATAATGGATATATATAGACACAAAACAATTTGTTCTGGGCAGGCACCGCCCAGGGAAGGGGGAGAGTGTCTCTGATATCTTACTGCCTCCTCAGCCGCGACAAAACACATACTTAAGTTATGAGCTCAATACAGAAAAATCCTGAAGAAATATATATGAGTACCACACAGGAGAGAAGAAATCTCAATTTTATTTATAGTCTGAAACCTTCACAACAGTTTGCCAGAGTGGACATCAGCAAATCCTAACTACATCTTCCACTGTCATTAGGACAGACCCTGGTAAGTTACAAAAATGATGAGGACCAATAAAATATACCCAGGCTGCTACTCAAAAAAGTGTTAAATGGAGATCAACAGAGTTACTGACTCCGATGCCATTTCATTCAGCCAAGAAGAAATGTTAAATCATTAGATCCCCAGGTTCAGAGTAAAGTTTCTAACGTTGTACCTAGCCTTTCAGAATCTTCATAAAGAAACAGTACCTGGTCACACAGACAGAACACAGGTATCCTTCTCCAAGTGTCGTCCCTACTGGAATCGCCTCTGTGCCCGGTTCTCTCTGCCTGGTGCTCACTGCCCTTGGAAAACCATCTGTGGGAATTTCTAAGGGTGGAGAGGCCTTCCTGGAGAAGAGATCCGCACTCACTTCTCTCCAGTGTCTGCAGGCATCAGCAGTAGAGGGCCACATCAAACCAAGCTCAGGACTTCGGCTCCCTTCACTGATGCAGGTTACACAGCTTTAGGCCACGAGTCTGCATGCTAGCCCGTTTGGGGAATCAGCTCATCCAGAACAAGCTTTTTTATTTTCCTTTTTGATCCTTCTATGCTCAGAGCCAAGACAATCTTCTACATAAGCCCCCACGGTGGGCAGGCAAGTTAGTTCTGGTTCTCCCTTCCCCAAGGGTGCAGCCCTCCAAGGTTCCAGGTTAACGTTGGGAGGGTCTCCTATACGACAATCACCTTTGGGTGAACCCCAGGTCTTGCTTTCAATCCCCCTCACCCTGTAAGGCCACGGAACCAAAGGCAATGCGGCTTGGCTTTGCCAAGACTGCCCTTGCTTACCTCTCTGAATTCTGGCTGTCCCCCAAATATTAGCCTGGTGTTCTCCACCCTCATGCCAGCTCCTCATTTTCGTGTGTTTATGATTTTTTGATATGCGTTTTACATACCACTCATAACATCCTTGTTTTTAGCAGGAGAGTATGATTAGCCTGTCATTACTAAAATAAGATGCTTTACACTAAAATCAAGTAAATCACAGGTATGTTTCTTCCTGTTTTCAAATACCAGTAATAGTAATTGGCTCTATTTTACCTCCTCAAAATTACACAGCTTGCAGGGTTTATTATAAGAAGCTCCATGCTTTTCTTATATGCCTTTGAAAGAAATAACTTAATAGCAGGCTAAAATTAGTAAAAGCTAAAATTTCTCGTATCTTGGGGCAATTTCTGCTTTAAGGGAAACTCATTAGGCTTGAAACTCAATCAGATGAGTTTCCCTTGATGTGAATTTACGACCCAGTCTCAACTGCTACGATAAAGTTTACCCCTCCATGTTTCACTCAAGCAGCAAGCACATGCCACGCCCCCTGCTATCCCCGCTGGTCAGTGTGCACTCCATAAGGGCACACTGTTTTAGCATCAGCACTGGTACACACATAAAGAGAGCATGCACTGTAAAGCACAGGAGATACAATCTGAGGGCCAAGTAACAAATTAAAAGGCAAATAACAAAATGAAAACAAAGCAACTATGACAAAAGGTACAGACCAATTCAAAAAAAGAATATCCCAACTGAAAATAGTAAAGGATAATTCACAAAGAAAGAATAATTCCAAGATGTTAACCCTCACTGGCAACCAACAAATACAACTCAGCTATTACACTGGTAAAGCCGAATAATGCCCACTCTGGGGAAGGGCTGGGAGAGAAAGGCCAAATAGCAATGGCGGGAGCATAAACTGAAACAATCTACCCAGAAATCAATTTGACATGAAATATCAAGTTCCGGTTATCTTAGTTACGGGAACCTACCAAGACATAAGGACACCTGCACAGACTTCACACACCTGCCTTTATCTCCAGTCTCCTTTCACATCGCGCCCTCACTTGCTGCAGCCACTCTGGCCTTCTTTTAGTTCCCAAAGGAGCAAAACTGTTCGCATCGGGGCCTTGAAAGATGCAACTGTGCTTTTCTTTCTGCCTGAAATGCTCTTCTCAACGCATGGCCCCGACTCCTCTGCCTGGTGACTGCCATGTACCCTTCGGGCCACTTTGTCAGAGAAGTCTCGCCAGTCAAAATCAGGTTCTCCCATTACAATCTCCCACACTCTTCACCATTCCTTAATTTTACAAACCCGATTTCCAATTACTTTTCCTTTAGAAGAGCTGTCACCAATTGCAATTATACACTCCTGACTATGTGATAGGTCAGCCCACTCCCACCCCAACACCAAGTGCCATGGAGGCAGAGGACATCCACTCTGGTCACTGATACATCCCAAGGCCTAGCACAGAGTTAGGCACATGGCAGGCATATACACAGTACGTGTGGAGATGATGAATAAACGGTGCCCACTGCAGCAATATTTGTGCAAGACCCTTCACCTTGCGTGTCAAGACAAAAGAGACAGCCAGGAAGGGCCTGGGGCTCCCTGGCCACCAGGCAGAGCCCATTTACCGAGTGAGCTACACAAACATCATCATTTTCTCAATGTGCTGTCATGTGAAAAAGGTAATGGCCCTTGTTGCAGATTGGGAAACACCTTTCATCGATGCCTTTACTTCTCACCACCTACCCATTATCTTGCTTTTGGATATGTGTTCAAGAACCCATCTGGGCTCCCGCTTTGCCTGGTCATAAGACAAGGCATGATTAGTGTAAAACCGAGTCTCTGTTCCACTTAGAGGAAATCCAAATCGTCCCAAGAGAGCCTTTTCTGCAGAACCTAAAAATGAAAAAAGGGGGGGAGGGGGACAAGTCATAACATTAGTGACTTTTATTAGGAACAAAAAAATTGTAAGTAAAGGAAGAGGAGTAAGACAAAGGACAGGCTCAAGTCTAATCAAGAAAGAGGCCTCATTTTTGCAATGTCTTACAACACAAAGAAAAGAGACAATAGACAAAACACTGGTTGTGCCTATAATCTGTTGTATAGTTTTGCCAAGACAAACTGCAGCTATCTCATTTTAAATAAGGACCTGATCTGACCAGCCTTTCACATTAAAATTTCAAATCTCTGCCCCAAAGAGTACCTGTGCATACAAAAGCAGCAAAGGAAAACCCCTTATCATTACTCATCATTGATATGATTGAATGGGGAAGAGCCAGCCTACTCACTATGTCTTAAGATTTAGTGTGGGGACTAAAGCACAACCCTTTTAAATTTTTTAAAAGACCAATATTCATTGACACTGCATGGTGATTCTGGCATTGAAGCAGTGATGTATGCTGCAGCAAGACAGCGGTAAAACTGGGCTTTTTCCTAGTGGGAGAAACCAAGTAGGGACCCACCAGTATACCTAGCTCTCTTGCTAAATGCCAAGCATCAAAGGGGCAAGTTAAATGGGAAAGTGTACAAATGATCGTGAGCTCATTTTCTTTGTCAAACATAAAGAACCCTTGGGACGTGAGGATGTACATACTTTGAAGAAGGACTAGCAGGCATTCTTCATGTGAGCCATGATAAATGTAATCAATTCACTAGTCTGCTAAAACTATGTGTGAATTCATTCATTCATCCATACTTCCTGAACGTCGACTCTGGTCCAGGTACCGTACAGTGATTATGGTGGAGAACAAAACAGACTGGCCGGAGCTCTTAGGAGTTAATGATCCGGTGTCATACACAGACATTAAATATTTTGGGGTAGATGAGTATGAAGATCCCCGGGAGACGTAAGTAAATGAAAGCGGCAGCCTAGACGGGACGTGAGGAAAAGGAGGCTGAGCAGGGAGACCGCAAAGGCTCAAAACCACGGGCAGGGCGAAGGGAGAGAGGGTCCCGCGTGAAGGAGGAATACGATCGATTCGAGCCGGAGGTAGGAGCCCGAGACGGACACCTGGGTCGGGGAAGGGAAAACGGGCCCAGACTCACCTTCCGGCTCCCTCACCGCCAACGCGGCCTCAGCGCTCTGACTCCGGAGGAACTGCAAGGCCGTGAGCCCGGCCCCCGCGGCGCCCACTACAGCTCCGGCCACGAAACCACTTAAAAAGCGCCTGGAACCTTTCATGCCGAACGAAAAACTCCTCGCAGCCATCTTGCCCGAGGTACCCGCCTTTTGCTATAGCGCATGCGCACACCGGCTTTGACTCCTGAAAGCCAATCACAACCGCGGGACTGAGATACGCTCACGCAACCTGACGGGACTCCAGAGGCAAAGACTGCAAACACTTGCCCGCTCCGCCGGGGATCTCGCGCGCCCCCTGGTGATAAACCTGGAGGCCCAAGCGCATCCTCCTCCATCCCTGGTCCACTTGACCAGGTGATGGGGTGGAGAGAATGGATGACGTCTTGAAGGCTCAGAAGTATACATATACAGCTCTGAGAAAGAAAAAATTACTTCTAGTTTAGCCCTACTCAATAGATGAGTAAACCACTTGCACACGGTTACACTAAGATCCTCAGAGCCGAGAGTCCAACTCAGGTGCGATTCCAAAACCTGTGTCATATTGGTTGTCTTCATGACACCTGGCTTTGAAGTCACATGGTATACAAAGCATAACTTCTAAAAATACTTTGTATCTCCCAAGAAATTCCTCGACAAGGTCCGTGCTCTCTCCTCAGGCGTAGTCCAGGATGACTCAGGACCCTAAATCAGAGGGCAGGGGTTTGGAAGCCCCCTCAACCACTTTCCAGCTTGGGTATGTTGCTCCATCATTCTAGGCTTCCATTTCCCCTCTTTAAAATGGGAATAACAACACTCAGACCACAGGGTTTTGTGATAGAGATTAACCATGTTAAAGTGTTTAGGGAAGAACCTGCAGCATGTCTCTGTAAATATTCACAATTTTTATTTAGTCATCTCTACTTGATAGAATGTAAGACCCAGATCACTGCCAATGTTTTATGTTTTATGCACTCCCACTCAAAAATAAGTGAGTCTCCATGTTTCAGCACAATCCCCAGCAACCCTGTGGACTTAGTTCACTAACCAGACCATTTGTGACATCAAACTGAAGGAGTGTAGACCTTGTTTTGACAGTTTCGTGGCTCCGTGTCGCCTCCTCAGGAATACCTCTCACAAAGTCATTTTGTATAATCCCCTGGACCTCCGACCCTAACTGGTTAAACTAGGTCAACCAGAGTCTTTCCAGGGATTTTGGATCTGGAACTCTTTCCAGGTAGTGAGGCTGTGACGTGTAAAACTCTGGCAGTTTCTACAGCCTTGTTTCTGGCTAAGTAGACAAAGGAGCTGAGGTTTCTGGCCACACTGAGCCAGAGGAAGAAAGGCTGAAACACAGTGAAGGCCTGCAGTGCGGTGGCCCCAGTTTCTAAGGCTCCTGAAGCCCAGGTGCTTCCTGCCTTTCCCAAGGCTCAACTGGCCACGGGCCTCAGGAACTTTCCAGGAAAGCCCTCCTTCCCCCATATCGTCTGCAGCCAAGTCCTGGCATAAACCACCAGGCTACACTGATGGGTATCTGTAGGTTTCAAAGGTACTTCAGCAGCTTCCACCAGGATTTGCTAAATACACACATTCAGTGAAGAGGTATTTCTCCAAGGCCCTCCTAAGTGGTATACACTATGCTAAAAACACTAGAAAAGATAAATGGCAGGTCACTCTTCCTCATCTAGATCCTGTACTTGGAAACAGTGAACCCTACACTTAGCTCAAGACGTCAAGAAGTGGGAGGGCAACTTGACTTTGCATAGTGTACCTCACCCTGGGGCGGTTTGCCCACTTTTAAAATGAAGGGAGTAGACGCTGGCCAGGAAGCTCAGTTGGTCAAAGTATCATTCCCATCCACCAAGGCTGCAGGTTCGATCTCTGGGAAGGGCACATACAAGAAGAAACCATTGAATGCATAAATAAGTGGAATAAGAAATTGATCTCTCTCTTAAAATCAATAAGAACTTACTTAATATTAAAATAAACAATGAAAGGAGTGGACCAGTAGTTTTTACCCTGTAACTACAGGATCCCTAGTGTTCCACAGGGGTACCTGAGACTTCAGGGAAGGCAGGTTGAAGGGTCCATGAGCCCTCTTCCATTTGCTCACTTGGGCAAGACCGCTTTTACAAACCACCGTCTGTGTCCACTGCTTTTCATGAAACAATTCCTTTGCTGAAGTCAAAGTTTGACTAGATGACCCATCTAGTCGACTAGATGACCCACCAGACGACTCCTCTGGGCCAATCTTCCAACATCTCTAGCTGCAAGGCCCTCGTTTAAACATGAGTCTTTTGCCTTACTCTCCTCTGTGCTCAGAAATAAGGGCACTCACTAATAAAAGGTGAGCTTTCTAAATCTGAAAGAACAAAATAACCAAACACTGAACAACTGCTCCCTAAATACAAGGCCCCTTCATCAGAAATTATTCCCCAAGAATTCCAAGGTTATTTAATCCTCATAATAAGGGGTAAATAAAAAGGCATCAACCTCACCAGAAGGATTCAAAGCTGGTTTCTCCGCTTACCAAATATTAGTCACAGGACAAGCAGTGAGGTGATTTCTGGGGCTTTCCTGAGTTTTGCTTGTTTTTTGTTAGATGATAGACCATTATTTTATTAGCAGGGAACCCTGTTTCATTTAGTGAGATAAAAACTCCAAAACATGAGACCTGGCTTGCTGATTCAGATCTGGGGTGGTACCCCCGAACTCGTTTATTTAGCTGGTTTTAGAGAAAAGAACAGAGATAAACATCAACTTGTTGTTCCACCCACCTATGCGCTCATTGGTTGATTCTTATATGTGCCCTGACCAGGAATCACACCTGCATCCTTGGCATATTGGGATGATACTCTAACCAACTGAGCCACCGGGCCAGGGCAGAACTCTTATATTTTAATAGGTAGGCAAGTGGCCCCACTACACAGCCATGTTTGGGAATGGCAGAGCTTGCATTCTGCAGTAGTCCTGAATATAACTGATTTTCTAGGCCTCTCTGTTCCATTTATAAAAATATTGCTCAGGATTGCCTGCAAAGTATGAGTGGTGGGTGTGGGGGGATGCATGTGGGGGATCTTGGAGATTTGGAACTATACCTGTGCCCTACAGGAACATGGCCAATATCCTTGGATAGTCCATTTGGGAGCCCAATGTCTCCAGCCCCACAGGCCCATGGTGGATGAGGCACTAGACCACTGACCACCACACGTTGGAACCAAGCAGGAACTCACAAGGGTGTCCGAGTCAGCCCCACCACTGGGAGAACACCATCTGATTCATTCCCAATTCCCATAAAAAGAAACCTCAATCTCCTGCCATGTGATTAAGAGAGACAACAGGGTTTTTAAATTATTATTATTTTATTTTCATATACAAAAAGATAAAACTTGAAATAGTTCTAGATTTTTCCTCCTATTCTGTTTGTTGGGGTGTGGCTGCTTCTTCACACAGGGGGAAAAAACTACATTCACATCGGTTTATTTGAGGACCCAGTGCAGAGTTCAAGCAGCAAAACCCCGACTTAGCAGATCTAATTTCAAACTTGACACTCATTTCTAAAATTACCACAGTAAAAAGGAACAAAGGTCCACTGCAAATGAATGAACTATGATACAATGTTCTTTCCAAAATGTCTTCATTTTGCAACTGTAATTACATGGATGTCTGCTTAGGCCATTTTAGATGTGTGCATGTATATAATATATATGTAAGATTATATATATATTTCAGCACACTTTTCAAATCCAGACAGGGTAACAGCAACAAGCTTAACTCTGTATATATATATAGTTTAAAAAACATGATACTTTAGTATAAATTTTGTTAAATTCAGTAGTACAAGCTATTTCTGTTCTACAAAATTTTTATTTTATAGCTACAGGGTGAACATGACCTATTACATTTACATCTCACATATCCTGGTATACGAACAGTACTTATTGAATTTGAGCCAAAAACTAGAAGTCTTTTATTTTAGCACTTGAAGAGCTTCCTCACTTCTACAGCCTTAAACCATATACTAGTCACATTTCCGGAGTTTGCAATTACTCATTTTAAACTGCAAGAAACAGGTGAATCCAAACTCTTAATTACAATTTTTTATATACAAGTTAGATAACACAGCTCAATTAAGACTTTGCTATCATCCTAAACCCACACACACATTCTCCACTAAGTTAGACAAGTCTTAGGGTTTCCTTCTCCTTACAAATAATGTACAAATTTAGAAGTAGCTGGTAGAACTGATATCTAAGATGGCAAATGACAGGTGACATTTTCCGTTGGTTCCAAAACTGGTCCTGCAGGTTTCATGCTCTGCTGTGTTCTCTATGTGTTACATGCAGAAGCTCTTTTCGCTAGAATTGACATCAAACTCGGTGTGAGTTAAATTTACAGTACTGTGCCGTCATTCAGATTCAAGGACAAGTGTGAAAAAATATGAACAGGTGAGAAATTCGGCCTTTGACGATACCCTTGAGATCATGTCAAATTCACAAGCAGATTCTTTTGTACAGTTGAAAAATGGCATTGTGTGGATGTGTGGCGTGGAACTGAAATCTAGAAGTATGTTTCTAATCTGCGGTAACCCTCACCCTCGATTCTCAAGTACCACTCGCTTTTCTTTGCAGTTTTACAGGACTGGGGCGGATGGGGGGAGCCACCGGCATTCACGCGAGGCCTCCTTCACAGGAGGTCTCAGCGCTTTCGGAGGCGGCCTCCCAGGAGCCTGCGTGCGGTCACTGGCTCTCAGATGGCGTTTGACAATGACTTGGACACCTTCCAAATCAAAACCTACACGCTGCCAACTCTTACCCGCTCTCATCTCTGTCACTGCTGGTAAAACCTGGATGAGCCTGTTTTTTCCCTTGCGGAGAAATTGTTTGGCGAACGATGAAAATACCTAGACTGGCAGCAGTGCTAAGGAAACCCCGCTCGGGCTACGGCGTTTGCAGGGACTCGTGAGCAGCCCCAGAGGCCACCGGGAGGGCCGGGTCGGGACCCAAGGGCGACACTCCGCCCCCGGCGCCGCACGGGCAGCCCGCCCTCGTGGGGCCGGGTGACCGCTTTCCTATTTGGTCTGCCGTCGCTGCCCCGGAGATAGAAATTCAGACGTGGTCACTGCTGGTTAATTAAACTTTTTGAACTGGTAAAAAAAGACTCT